CTCTTTTAAAAAAACTCTTACACTTAAAAATCTGTCGATTTTTGAGGAATAGGATATAAAGAGCGTCCGTAGTGTCACTGTCGTGCTGAGCAGTGAAGGTTCTAAATCGGGCATTTGTAAGTGAGGCCACATTAATAAACCACTCAAGTTTTCTGACTTTTCGATACAGATCTTCTCTTTCTGTGCCACTGAGCTCGCTGCGTTGGCTTACCCGCTTGCTGCTACTGTATAATCCCTCATTCTGCATTATAGAAAGTCTACATTATTGCTACCAACATACAGTAGTCTCTTCTTGTTTTTTGAGGGGAACATTGTGCAGACATAATAGAGAATCTGTCAACTACTTGCGAATATGTGATCCATTTCATCCTTTTTTTCTATAGTTGTCTTTCTTCGCCATCACTGTTAGCCTCTCACCTCTGTTGCTTTTCTTCCCTAATCTTTGTCAACGCTTGCCTCTCCGTCCTTTCTTCTTGTTTCAGAAAAAAATCGCCTTTAAAAACAACCGTACTGGGGGGGGGAGGGGGGAGGGTTATATTTAAACATGGCGGGGGAAGTACGCCGATTCACGACGAGTTAATCTACCAGGGGAAAGTTGCGATAGCCACTTCCTGCTGATGATGGGCACTTTTTCGCCAACATTCTTACGTCGGATAGAATCGTTCCACAGTCCTTTTACGTTAGGATGTACTCAGTCCTTCGCCACGTCCACGCGCCAAGGACTCGCGTAATGTTTGTTCGTCAACCTGGACTGGATGACTCGTAACTTCGTCTTTTAATAGAGACTTGTAGTTATGAGTGCATATCGAGAGATCCAACCCCGGTTCGTTCCAGCATTGTAATTTCTAGGTCATATTTTTTTTAATCTTTGTGTTATAGGCAAATAAGAAACTTGCGAAGCAGTTCGGAAGCACTCCAATCGAGCTACAGCAGAAGTATGCAAGTAATCAGCAACATGAGGAATATCTTAAAAAGCAACAGATGCGAGAGGAAGTCTGTTTCTTTTGATGAATTTGTTTTTATGTGAAAGCAAGAAGGGTTTACTAAGCTCGTAATATCGGTGTTTAACGAAGGACAGTAGCACAGCATGAGAATAACTTAACTGTCACAAATGTCTTCAAAGTGTGTGCTGAGGGCCACTTTCGCAGCTCTCTATGCTTTGTTTGCTCGTCCCAACATGCCCCCTTCTAATGGCGATTCGCTTTTACAGGCTAAAGTTTTTCAAAATCCAGAAGTGTTTTTAACTTCAGAAAGTTGTAGAGAAGAAGGAGCTTACCTGTTTGTGCCGTCTACTGAAATCAGTACGTTTCAGAAAAAAATAAATGGCTAATTTGCATTTTCGGCAATTGTTTTTGTACTTTTGATGAGTTGAAAATATAAATTATCGATTGTTTTTTGGAAATGGGAGGAGAGGAACCTCGCTGGCGTTTCCAGCAGAATGCTGTCATTCAGACGAGTTCCGAATCCTTCATTCATTCTAAAATTTACTGATTTTGAAATTTTGAATTAATAGTGAACGGAAAACATTGTGATTTAGTTCGGCCATGCGGATGAGTAGTTATTTTGTATCGGTTTTTAAGGAGGAGGCGGACCGCCTTAACAATCAATGGCGCGGAAGCGTCATGAAGGCGATTCAGTGGAAAAATACTGTGCAGAAAATAGCTGCTATAGAACAGCCTCGCCAAAATGGTCCTCATAGAATTGCCACTAACAAAAAGAATAGCCTAAGGCATTTGACGTAAGTTTTTTTGTACGTTTTTGTCCTGCATCGTTATGCAAAAACGCATCAGAGCAGTGCCATGCATATGTGCACGTTTGTCTCTGCTATCCCCTATTAAAAATCTGACATTGCGGAAGCTTTGGAGCTGGGATTTTGTGGCCCAAAGGCCCTAATCTGTGAAAGGACACGAAACTGAAATCATCCCTCAGTCGTTCACTGTTCTTTCGTTTCTTCTGTACCAAATTCAGGCAAATTCTACGGCTCATTCTTTGACCTTTAAACAAAAAACAAATCGAGACAAATTACAGTGTCTAAAAACCGAAAAGCTTGAGTATAAAGTTCCCGGCCGAATAAGAGATCAGAAACGTCGGCCCACGTCATGGATTCAGATTTGCGCATCATAACTCCAAGTTAAAATTGTTGCAAATCTGTATTTTTTTGGCCGTAGTTCCTGTTCCTGCACAACACCGAAATGTGAAATCGAATTTTAATTCAGTACTTGCCGAGACCAGTGACTAAAGTTTAGTTCCAGTGAATATTTTGTAACTTGAGAATTGAAAAAGTCCAGGGTCGTCAGTTTTAGAAATGAGTATCTGTGAGCAAGAACTTCAAGTTTTGAAGTCAAAGTCCTCGATCATGTACAAAGCCGAAAGCCGAAATAAACTTTCAGTTTTGCTGTTTGTGACTTTTTTCTCCTGGTTATAATCTGAGATTTTTGGAAGGACCGTATGCGGGCTGGAAACATGGGACAAAATCATATTTGGCTTTGTTTTCCGACTTTTAACATCAGATTTAAGTTTGGATGAGGATCAAAAATATTCGGTTGCGAAGTAATTCTTCGGCACCACCGTAGTTTTGATATCAAATCTCTTTTTTTAATGTTGCGAATAACAGATTATCTGTATATCATTGCGACTGTGCTTCCAAACTGCATTTCTGAGTCCAGTTCAGCTTTTTCTACCTACCAGCTCCACTTTCTCTTTTCGTCTTTTATTCCCACCTTGCATCCTCTCGTCTTTCTTCTTTCACACTTCATCCGTCGAGCTTTTTTATCTTACAGAAAGTTCGAGAGTACGTTGAGCATTTCCGTCTTGACAAACAATATATGCAATAAATTCTTACGTCACAGAACATTTTAATGTATTGTGAAGTATCAGCCATGGAGCTTATCTGGAAGGTAGAGAAAATGTTAGCTGCATGACCAATTCAGCAGATGCCTGAGAGCGATAGCTTCAAGTAGCTGAAGCTACCCTTAAATGTTGGCGTAATAGCGTATGCGCCCCAGAAGGAACTGCTCGCACAAAGGCGTAATCGTGCCGATTCTCTAGTAAGCAGCACCATCTCTTCTCCTGGTGGCACGCCGCTAGAAAATATTACCAGTTGGCAGCAAGTCGTTTACAGAGCTTTATTTACACTCTTTATTAA